GGCCATCAATTTAGCTGCAGCTGCTGAGGCCCAAAGCCCAAAGCCCAAAGCACAAAGCCCTGCGTCTCGTGTCTCGTGTCGTCTCCTCCTTTCTATCCACCCACCAGGATTCCACGACGACGACGAGCATGATGATGATGATGTTTGTCTGTTGGTTTGTCTGGCTGCCGTTCGCTCTGGTTCTGTGTGCTACAATTTCCTTTCACTTGACTGACACCCAAAAGCCCCATTGCACCCATCGTCCGCACAGTCCGCACCGTCCACGTCCTCGTCCTCGTCCTCGTCCTCGTCTTCGCTCAAGGATTGTATAACATGTGGGCGGACGGCAGGAGGTGGGTTGAGAGTCGAGCGTCGAGTCGAGGCACTCGAGGCACTTCCACTTCCGGTGCACTGTCCGCCTGTCCGCCTGTCCGCCCGTGCATCCACTGGATCCCATGGATGCCTGTGTGAGTGTGGGTGCTCGCCATTTTTGTGTGTGTTTCTCGCTTTACACTTGACTTGTCCTCCTGACTGACTTTTGCTCTTTTGCTCTTTTCTCCAATTCCACGTCTCCCTCTTTCTCTCGGTCTTTCAGGGAACTTCAATTGACCTTTGCCTTCCGCCGCCACTCTGTTTCCATTTCATTGGGATTTTCATCTTCTTAACCCACTCGCCTGCCACGTGGCTGTTGCCAGAGCAGATGGGGAGGAGGAGGCGTTTCTTTTTCAGTTAAGTTATGCACCAACACGTACATGCCACAACGTCATCGTCATGCCTCAGTCATTCAGCCATCAAAGCCATTCAACCATCAGCTTTTACTCCCCCCTCTTGCTTGCTGCTGCCCCAAAAATGTTGCCTCCTGATGGTGCTGCCACTTCTGCTGCTGCTGCTGCTGCTGCTGCTGCTGCTTGCTTCGTGATGTTTGCCGTTATGGCTCTTAAACTGTTTTGAGCCACAGCCACAGCCTTTTGCTGGTGGCTAATTGTCCTTATGTGCCTTGGATACGGCATTATCAGTGGGGCATGGATGGATGGGATGGGATGGGGTGGGATGGGAGGGGATGGCCAACAGGATAGGAGTGCACACACAAGAGCTTTCTACTGCCACATGCCTGTATTCTCTACTATCCTCTCGTCTCCTCTCCCCTACCCACCGATGGTGCCACACATTTTGTGTAGCATACTGCCAGGAGCAGCCCCTGTCTGCTTTGTCTCTCTCGCTCTCGCTCTCGCTGTGTTTTTGTTTCTGTGAGTCAGCGTTTTATCAGCACCTGACTATCGCCTCGCCTTGGGTCTGCTACAATTTGGCAAGGACGAACACACAGATACTCACAGATGCACCTTTTGCATACGAGGACAAAGGACTTGCACGTACGGCAGCAGTTGTACTAGTGGTAGTTCCTTGGGGTTTCTTGTGTGGAGTTTTTTAGTTTTTAAATTGTTTCTACGGAAGGAAAAGGCTGCTCTTTCCTCTGCACCCCTTGCCTCCTTTCCATGGGATCCGTCCCTTGTGTATCCTTCCTGATTTTTCTTATGCTGCTCCTCCTCTTGGCCTCTGCTCTTCTGTTGGCCTTATCGTAGGTTCTTCTCTCTGTTGGCCTTCTTTCCCGCCCAGTGTTTCGTGTTCTTTCTCCTGGCTCTACCCGTTTTGGCCTTGTTCTTGGCCAAACAGCTGTGTGTTTTTACTTAATTTCCTTTTCAATACGCCTTGTAGTATCTGTGCCACACTCTGCCGCACTTCTGCCAGTTTTATAGGTCAGCCTTACACACTCTCTCGCTTGCTCTCTCTTTGGTTACTGTGGCTGTGCCACAGCTTCCCCTAGAACTATGGCTTGCACTCCCCCACCCCACGTCTGGCCAACACCTGTGGCCGTTCTACTTCTCGCTCTCTCTCGCTCTCTCTCTACAGAACTACAAAAGCCACACTCCTCTCTAGCCACTCCTCTCCTTCTCTCTAGCTACAGTTCCTCCCGCTTCTGCTTCTTTTCCTTCTAGCCTCTAGCTTCTAGCTTCTAGCTTCTCTCTTTTCTTTTTTTTGGCTTATTGCATTTCCCTAATTGGCCCAAAAGTTACGCTTGAAATGTGCCACAAAAAAAAAAGAATAAATAAAAAGCTTAAGAAAAAAACAACAAAAATGAGAAAAAAACTCGTCTCTGCATTGAATGTTTTGTGGGGATTCAATCGAATATTGAGTTGCAAAATTGTTTACGTGTTTTTCCGGATTGCATTTCCCGCATTTCCCATTTCCCAACAGAGAGCGCCGGAGCGACAGAGCGAGAGAGAGAGAGAGCGAGTGAGTGAGTGGATGAGGAATGATCCAATCAGCGTACATTCCATTGAGGGAAATTATTAAATTCTTTTGCATGAGATCATGTATCCTTATCTGTGTTTGTTTCTGCCACACACACACACACACACACACACACACTCCCGTTGTCGTGTCGCATTCGTATCTGTGTCTAGCTTCCCCCCTCTCATGGGGTATTAAATTCTTTGGCGCTTCCCCCCCCGCATCGTCTGCCATTACTCGCGCAATTTTCGCACGTGGAATTTTGCAATATTGTGCAGTAGCCAGCGGCAACAGCCAAATCCCACCACCCACCACCCACCACCTACCGTCCACCATGTGGCAGAGACTGACTGACGGAATGACTGACAGCTGGAGGGGTGGCCGATGTGGGTCCGGGTGCGGAGTGGTGCTGGTGCTGGTGCTGGTGGGTAAGGTAGAATTTTTAAGCTTCTGCTGGCTGCTGTTGATTAAATTCCATTGATAGAGCTACTGCCACTGCCACTGCCACTGCCACTGCCACTGCCACTGCCACTGCCACTGGCCCACCGCCTCACTGCCCCCACCATCCGTTGTCATGCCTCTGCCTCTACGGGCCGATGCTGACTCTGTGATTTTTCCCGGCCTGACCTCTGGCCTCCAGCGGTGGCTGTTGGTGTTTCCATGGCCGATGTCGAAGTCGATGTCAGGGGCTTCTCTTCTCTGCTGGGGCCTCCCGTTCGTAATGAATATTTTAATCATTTATGCTCTGGTTTCACTCTCTCCCCCTGTGCTCTCTGTTGTCACAGTTTTTCCCTTCTCTCGCTGCTCCGCCTCTCATCTCATCAATTTTCCTAATGCCTACGCCTTAAAGTTGCTCAAAAAGTCTGCAATAATATCACAAAATTTTAATAATTTAGATCTGTCTCTATCTCCATCTCTGTCTTGTGAATGAGGGCCAGGCGGCACTCATGAATCCCATCCATGAATCATGTCAGGGGCACTTAGCCATCGGTCGCCTTCGCCTTCGCCTCCGGCTCCGATCTGCTCCGCCCACTTTTCCGTTGCTTCCGTTCGACGAGAGCCGAGAAAATCTTTGGCGGCCCGAAAAGCTTTTAGAGGAAAATATGAACGGATTGCGACGAGTATTTATAGGATATGCATATGTATAGATACAAGATACAACATACAGATATAGCCATAATCCGCCAATAGAAGCAGACGATTTTTCGGTCGGTCGGTCGTACTTTTCTTAATTAGAGAGAGAGAAAGAGAAAAAGAGATAGAAAAAGCATATGGAAAAGATAGATATAGATATAGAGATATTCATCTGGCCATTGTTATGCGGATACATTTATATTGTAGCTGAACATAATTTAACATTCAATTTATTAGTTTTGGAGATAGAGATATTGTTCGTGTGGTCAAAAGTAGAGTCAGCAGACACCGTTCATTAGATAGATACCACCCACATGAACAGATGCACACAGATACATACAGGCGTATGTATTTGTTGGGGACATTCCGTGTATCTGTTGAATCGATCAAATACAATTGGAAATGCCTGAACGGAACGCCAAGCAGTTTTTGTTGACATTTTTTTTTTGACGTTTTCATTGTTAATGAAAATTTAATTATGTTTTCATTGCTATGTGCCAATCCACCATCGGACAGCGGACAGCGGACAGCGGACAACGGACAGCGGACAGATAGTTGTTGTGGATGTTGTTTTTGTTTTTTTTTTTGTGTGTTGTGGCAGCCCTTGCTACTCCTCCCTCTGATAAATGTGGAATGATAAGCAGGGATACATACAAATAAATAGATCGTTAAGTGGAGCTGTGCTTGGGGAGTGAGGGGTGGGGGTGGGGGTATCTATATCTGCATCTGTACAGTGTTTGTGGCATGCAATGTCCCTCGTTTTTTGGGGAACATGCAACATAAAATGATGTTTGATGAAGGCTGTCCTATCATGCATTCGAATTGGTTGATAGATATCCCATGGATACGAGAGTAGAGTCTGAAAACCGTTCTCTGCCTGCATTTCGGTATCTATGTATCTTCGAGATACATACGTTTGCGTCGGCTGCTGCTGCTGCTGCTGCTTCTGTTAAAATTAAACTCTCTGTGCTATTTAGTTGTCTTTCGTCTCCTCGTTGCCTCTGAAGGTGAATTTATGGTGCACACATGTATGTATGTGGCCCTGCCACCAGGCTGGCAGGCAGGCAGCCAGGCAGCCAGGCAGCAGGCAGTTTACCTCTCTCTCCCTGTTTCTGTAGCTGTGCTGTAGCCGTGTGTATCTTTGTATCTGTGCATTGAGCAGTTTTCCTCGTGTGACATATGTCGCTGTGTGCGCTGCTGCTGTATGGCCAAAAATAGATTCATTTCGAAATGTAGGGGGCAATTCTTTGTGAGTGTTTCTCTCTCTCTGTCTTTTTTGTGATTTTTTTTTTGTAGTGCCCTGCCATGTGGCTGATTATTTTAATGGTTTATTAATGAGTGCACCCAACAACTAATTCTCTTTTCTCACTTTTCTGTATCGTTTCTATATCGTTCCTAGATTTCGAGAACTATCAACCACAACAACAACAGCAACAAAAGTAACAGTAACACCAACACCAACAAAAAAAACAACAACAACAAAGGAATCTGTGTGGGAAGCGTCAACTACAGATATATATGTATATATATATATATATATATATATAGATATATATATATATATAGCCAGCAGATATATATATTCTTTCGACGAGCAATATAGTTGTAATATATAGAATAAATATATATCACAAACGGAGGAACAGAGGGCAGTGACAGATACAGATACAGTTATATCTGCATCCTGCTCCACATCCATTCACTGTACATATAACAACAGTTGTAAAAAACACGTTATCAACAGTAGCAGCAGCAGTCGTCGTCTAATAGAGTCAGTCAGTCAGTGCTACCCCACATTCGTATCCTTTTGAAGAAGGAACGGTTTTGCCACAGAGAAGACACCGATTTGGCCAGCGCGCACCCCCAACGACAAACAACAGCCTCAAGATTCTTCCATTTGGGGCCAACTTCCGTCTGGAGACGACACCCGCTGAGATGCACAAAATAGCGGCACAGCCGCCAACCTCAGCGCCAGCCGGCGGACTGGATGCCCCACTGGCGGCGCCCAAATATGGCACATTGATACCAAATCGTATATTTGTGGGAGGAATAAGGTAAGAACATATTCTCAAACCGATAAACGGTCCCTGAATCTGTCCGTAAATCTACCCATGAATCTGTATCTCTTTTTGTCTTGTTGTTGCAGTGGCGATACCACCGAAGCAGATTTGACGCGCGTCTTCAGCGCCTACGGTACGGTGAAGAGCACCAAAATCATTGTGGATCGTGCTGGTGTGAGCAAGGGATATGGCTTTGTCACATTCGAGACGGAGCAGGAAGCGCAAAGACTGCAATCGGATGTGAGTATGGCTCCATTTTTTGGGAGACCAAAATCCTTTCTTATCCTAATGCTAATGCGTCGCCTGTTGCAAAACACAAACAAAAACAAAGAACAAAAAAACAAAAAAACAAAAATTCAATTATGATTTCAAACACCGAACCAACGATAGAAAGGAACCGACAAACAACAAAAAAATAAAAACACTGTTTATACTCGTAGATACATATGTATGTACATATGTATGTCATACCATACTGAATACTCATACAATTCCATACCAATAATCATTATCCTATACTCTAGAATCATCGTGCGATATATATCGGGAGTATATGTATATACGATAGTATACACGAAAATCTTATAAATTGTGATCCCCATTCGATCTTTTAGGGCACTACTTCCACCAACAACAACAACACCTCTCTTGACCCCCCAAAAACAACAACAACAACAACAACAACACTACCACAAAAGATACTACTACTATGTACTACGTACTACTACTACTACTACTACTACTACTGCTACTACTACTACCACTGCTACTACTACTACTACTATGTACCTATGTACCTATGTACTTATGTACTACTACTATGTATCACTACTGTGAGACGCCGTCGAAAATCGAGAACTACCAGAACCACGACCACCACTCCAGTGGGAGGGGTAGGGGCATACTATATCACATATAGGATATATATCTGATATATCGCCTATGATATACATATATGATAAATGATTTATTGATGAAATCACAAAGATATTGATGATGATGATGATGATGATGATGTACGTACCGCCTTTTAGGTACGGACGGCACTCTCTTTGTTCCTGTTTTTTATAAAAAAAATTGTTTTTTCCTTCTTATTGCGTTTTTTGCGTTTGAGTTTTACGTTTCAAGCGTTACGTTACGTTACGTTATCCGTTTATCCATTATACGTTGCGTTAACACATTACGTTACCGTTACGTTACCATATTTCAATTACCGTTGCGTTTACGTTACTATCGTTTTCATATATTGCCACAGAAAAAAACACAAACCCACATACACACACGCACACACTCTTTTAACCCCTTAAACACACACACACACACACACACACACACACACACACCCACCCGATACACACCCAATAGATATAGACCACTTTATAGATCGATTTAAGACCGTTTTTGAGCGTAAATGCAATTTTTGCCAAAAATCCAATTTGAGTTGAGTTCCGTTGCACCGTTTTAACCCGCTCATAATTTAATTGCAAAACAAAAGAGAAAAAAGAAAACACTAAATAAAACAATTAGCAAGAAAACCTTTGTTGGCCATTTGCTCCTTTGTTGTGTTTTGTTTTTTTGGCCAAGAGAATAGACTATATATAGAACGTATTAGCCAAGATATTGCGTACCTCTTAGTGCCGTTAGTTCCGTTCCATTCGTTGCATATTCTGATTATTGACTATTGTTTTCTGATTTTTGATTGATTTCTCTGTAAATGTTGCTGCACATCTCTTACGTTTCTGCCTCTTTCTGAATTACAAAAAAAAAAAATAAAAACACAAAACAAACAAATTAAAGAACTTACAATAAGATTTATTCCACAAGTTCATAAGAGCGCCATAAAAAAGTTCATTGAGCTGTAGGGAAATGTACGAATACGAGCATCTGTTTCTGTTTCTGCCCCCGTTCGCAGTTCGATTCCAAGTCGGCAAGCCAGCCCACGCTCTCTATGTGCCCCAGACACGGCTTGTGGCATCCCTAATATGGTCTCATGATCTGCCACTCCACTCCGCCGCCGTTGTTCAGGTGCATACTAATTGATTATAATTATTGCATAACGACTGCCCTGCCCCAGGGTCCCCGGGTCCCCTGTCCCCTTCCTCCCTGTGGCTGATGCAACTTTTAACCATTTCTGGGTTGTGGCTCTCTTCCCACATTTCACTCTCTTTCTCTTCCTCTGCCCTCTGCCCTCTTTCCTCTTTCCTCTCTCCCTCTCTCTCTCTCTATATCTCTATCTCTCTATCTATGCAGCTTCCGCCGTGCGCTCGGTGCGCTCGGTGCGCTCAGTGCTCTCTGTGGCATATTAAGTGAAAAACTTTTGCTGCCTCGTCATTAATATGCATTGTTTGTTGGTCTCCTCTTTGTTGGGCTCCTCTTCTGGGTTTTTTGCCCACTCCACTCCCTCTCTGGGACATACAAGTGTCCTTGGCAAAAGCCAAAAGGGGAAAAGCTAAAAGAGCGAACCAACAACAAACAGAGCAACAGAGAGCAACAACAGAGAGAAACAATGCAACGCTAGTACCCGAGTAATGTGCCCTACGGCGGAACAACAACAACAACAACAACAACAGCAACAACACAACAGCAGGACAACACTTCTATGCAAAAAAGGATGAAAACGGGCACGGACCTAGGGCTAGGGCTAGGGCTAGGGTTAGGGCCCTACCAGAAGCAAACAATGGGCTTACCAACGTTTAACAAAGTTTTAATTTACACAAAACGCGCACACACACACACACATGTAGACGATAGATGTATAGAGAGATACACACACTAATTAAATTTCATTTGGAGAAAGTTTCACAGAGGGAGAGAGGTAGAGAGAGGGAGAGAGGACTAGGAGGTAGGGACACTCATCAAAAGCCACAGAATGATATAAATACGAGGAAAACTATGGCTCGGCTAAACCACACACAGACCGAACCGAACCGAACCGCACTCCCCCTCTCTCTGCCTGTTTGTTACCTCAATTTCCACTCTAATTTTCTGTTGGAAAACTAATCCAAAGCACCCCCACACCCATAAGCAGCTATAGATTAGCACAAATTTGTGTGTGTGTACGGCAGGGAGAGAATGGCCCGGACGGACACCACAAAACGCATTTCGAATGTATGAGATTTACCCGGAAGCAGCAGAGCAGCTCTGCTCTTCAATTTTACATTATTTTTAGAGTGGACCCAAAAAAAAAAAAACCAAACATTAAAACTGTGAAGCAGTAAAGCCTTCTATTCTGTTGTCCTTTTCTGTTTGTGAGCGTGTGCGTGTGCGTGTGAATGTGAATGTGTGTGCGTGTCCGTGTCCGTGAGACAAAAGAAATGGAAAAGGCCGACCGTAAAAGCCAGCCAGCCAGGCCCAGCCAAAAGGATTCTTAATTAAATTCAGTCAAGACAAGGAAGAAGTGGGTCCTGCTCTGCTCCCCCCTGCTCTCTGACAAACGTCTCATCTTTAGTTTACTCTGTGGACTGTGTGCTGCTCCTGGCCCTTTTGCTAGGGCCCTTATCCTTATGTCGGCGCTCGTGGCTCGAGGGCTTGAGGACTCGAACATAAATGAAAAGAATGTTTGCCCGTCGGCGGTCAGAAAGGATACGCAGTGGAGGCCTCTCCTCTCCTTACATTTCGTTTTCCACCTTCTTCTTTTTAACGACAACAGCAGCAGCCGAGCATCTCCGTTGGCCTGCAAACATTTGCTTAGGTTAATGGTTATTACCGATGCTGCCAGGCCAGGCCAGGCCAGAACGGAACGGAACGGAACGGGACAGGACAGGTCATTCGCTGTCTTCGTCCTCAAAGTGCTGTGCTGCGCTGTGCTTATCTCTCTTTGAGGAGCCGCAACAGCAAATCACAAGGCTATCGGAAGCAGGACTAATTGCCAATTAAAGACGAACGTTCCGGTCCTGTTCCTGCTCCGGCTGTTCCTGCTACTCCTTCTGCTGCTCAGCAGCTCTCAAAGCTGTCATCTTGCTCCGAGTGGTAGTTTTCTTGAGGTACTCGCATTAAATGTAAATTGGCTGTTGTATCTGCTACAGGAGAGTATTACAGTATCAGCTCAAAGTGCGGGGGCCAAATGCATTTTTAATGGGCCTCAAAACAAGGTCGGTAGATGATCATCGACCGAAAAGGATTACCAAGAACACATTTTCCACTGAAAAAGAAGAGGCAGCCGAAAGAAGGAGGGGCAAATTTTCAAAAGGGAATTCAAGAAAAGCTCACTTCAAAAAGAAAATCTCATTGTGCTGAGAGGGATGAGGGGTTTCCATTATTCCTACAATTTAATTTAATTTATTTTTAAATTTCGGTACGGGCTATCGGCTACATACAGATTTACACACGTACAGATTTAACACAACTCTTCTGCAATGTGTTTTCTCATTTATTAATCAATTGATTTTCCTATTCGCAAACACATGGACGAGAGAAGAGAAAAGCCACAGCTTCAGAACAAAACAAAACAAAACAAAACAAAAACAATAAAAATTAATAAAAAAAACAGAAATATGTTAATTGTTCTTTAAACGCTTCTGTGCCACATTTTAAATATATTTTTCCTTTGATTTCTTACCTTTTTTTTGTGTGTTTTAATGAGTTTATTATTCTGGTTAATTAATTTTTATTGTTTTTTTAGTTGATTTTTTCATCAAAACGAGACTTGTTGTTGATATTCGTTGTGCCGCAAAACAAAGAAAATAAAATAAATATAGAAAAAACAAAAGATGAACATTATAAACTTGCAAAAAAATTGTTGGCAAATGAATTTTTTTTCGCTTTTTGAAGCCAGAAAAAAGCACACAAAAAAATTGCTGCAAATAAATAGTACAAGACACTTTGTTGTAAAAAAACATTACTTAAAAAACACTATATACTCACATACACACACACATATTAAATAATACACACATGTATTTGGTAATGGTATTTTTGCCTTGGCACGTGTTTCTCTCTCTCTCGCTCTCTCTGTCTGTCTCTCTTTAGCCATGGCCAAGAAAAAAATATGATCTTTAAAAAATAGTGAAAAAATGAATTTTTGAAACAATAAAACCAAAAAAAAAACAGCGTTGAGCATTAATTTTTAAATATATATATATATATACATATATATTTTTTTGGTTGAGAATATTTTTGATGCTGCTGCGTTCGATTTGAATTTGAATTTCTTCGTTCGGCTTGTGTGTTCGATAAAAGCAATCTAAAGCGATTTCTAATGTACTCCCCATTTATGATCTCTCTCTCTCTTTCTTCCACATCGCTATGACAACTGACAACCAAATCTGTCTGTCGTCGCTATGAATCTTACTTTGTGGCACCTCAAATCCAAATTCGAATCAAAATCAAAATCACAGGGTGAGTGCGTGGTTCTACGTGATCGCAAATTGAACATTGCACCGGCCATCAAGAAACAGGTAAGTGCCCCCCCTGCTCTCCGAGAAGGAGACAGGGCGTATGCACTATTTTACAGATAGTTTTACAATTGTAAAACTTATTAAAGGTATTCCTCTTCGAACAGCCCAATCCTCTGCAGTCGATTGTGGCCGCAAATGGAGCTGTTTACTACACAACCACGCCGCCGGCACCGATTAGCAATATACCGATGGATCAGTTTGCAGCCGCTGTATATCCGCCAGGTGAGTGCTTACCTCCCCACTAGTTCCACTAGTACGACACACCGGTACTTCTACTATTCGCGGTACAATTTCCCATAAGCGAATGGATCTGCTCACAATGGAACTGTTCCCTTTTTGACTATATTTTTCTAACGATCTATCTGAGTACTCATCATTTTGCCGCTTTAGTTCTTTGCTCAATTACAAAACAATACCTTTCTTTTCGTTTTTGTTCTTTTTTCTATATATTTCATATAAATCTCTTTCTATTTAATCAACAAACAAACAACAATCTACTACTCGTACATCGTACATCGTACATCGTACAACATCCAACCAACCAAAACCATCATCAATGTGTGGGGAACAATTTAACCAAACTTAGTTACTGACTTTACAGCCGCTGGAGTTCCAGCCATCTACCCACCTTCAGCCATGCAATATCAGCCATTCTATCAGTACTACAGTGTGCCAATGGTGAGTGTTATACTCTCTGATCTGATCTAACCTACAGGGTATCTACTCGTATCTAATGATTATAATATTACCATTTTACAGCAGAATGTACCCACCATTTGGCCGCAGAACTATCAAGGTGAGTGTTGATCCTACATAGAGCATATACGTATATATCTCTTGCATTGTTCTGTCGTTTTATCGTAGTTTTTACACCAATATCTCGGTATATATGCTTTCTTTTCTTTCATTATTTCTTGGCTGCACCACTACCAAACCACCAAACCTACAAAACTCCTACAACAACCACCACAAAAAAAAAAAATAAATAAATAGGTTAAACCCTAAAAAGAAACATAAAAGTAAAGCAATTTTCGTAGTCGCCAATTTTTCGTTGAGAGCTGCCCTGCAAAAAAAAAAAACAACAAAAACAACCATACGAACAACAACTGCACGTGAAACTGCAACTACAACAACCAACAACAATCTGACTTCTGAAGATTCAACAATAACAAGAACAACAAGAACAACAACAACAACAACAACAACAAGAACAACAATTTCTACAACAGAACTCCTGCCCCTCTGCCACTCTGATCGAACTGCAGCAGCCTAAGCAGTAGTCTAAGCAGCAGCCTAAGCAGCAACATCAGCAGCCGCACTTCTAGTTTCTAGTTTCTAATTTTTAGTTTTTAGTTTATGATTTAATATTATTTGTAAACTTATGTTTTAAGCTCTTGGTTCTTTAGTTTATTCGGCTATTACTCTACCGTACAGTGTAATGTAAATTAGTTGAATGCCATGTCGAACCCTCACACACAATATGTATATGAAAAAAAAAAACAAAAAATAATAGAAAAAAGTGCAGAGTGTGGTGTATTACAACAGACTTCCTATAAAACATATACATAATTGTTTTTTTGTTGTTTTTTTTTTTTAATTTTATCATATACATCTATCAATTTTTTTCGGTTTTTGCTCGCTGTACTATATATACCATAAAATATATAGCGAAGAATGTTCTCTGTAAATAGTTGTAGTCGCGCACTAATAGAAATGCATACATATAGTATACTATCTTTTACAACTGATATATGTAAACTATGCTCGTATATATCTTCCGAAAACGAAACGACTATGAAGCCAATTTCTTGATTATTTTGTAGGAATTTATCCATGTTAACTTTTGAGAGGATGCAGACAGCCAGAAAGAGAGAAAGCAACAATAGGTGATGCTACTACTACTAAAAACTACAACAACAAATCAACAAGAACAACAGCAACAATAGTAAACTACAACAGCAACAACAACAACAAAAGCATCAAATAGAGTTTAACACACACATACACGCACACACACACAGACACACACAGCAGCTGTAATTTCGCAAAATGTTTAGTCAAAGAAAATCATTTTGGAAGGAAGTGAAGGAAAGGCAGCTCCCCAAACATACACACACAAACACACACACACACATACACACACATACACATAAATACAGGTGCAGGTGCAGAAGGGAAAACTGATGGGGAAATTTGTGTAAAGTAAGCGGCTTATCTTATTAAAAGTACAACTACTGTATCTGTGTGGCCTGTGCGTGTGTGTGTGTATGTGTGTTGGGGCAAACATTTATGATGTGCAATTAGCGGAGAGCAGTGGCGGGTCAGTGGCTTACTGACCAAACTGCACTACCGAAAAGTCAGTTGCAGAGAAATGAGAAATGGGCATGGGATTTTGTGCAGTGAAATTCCCCAAAACGGACAGGACTTATACGAAATATGTATGTACGTATGTCTGGTTGTCTGTAAGGGGGAGTTTCAACTGTATATACATATAGCGAATGGATGGATGTTGATGGGAATAGAGAGGGAATAGCAGTTGAAGAACACTGAAACAATATTTAAAACTATACTATAAATACATATACATATATGGATATGATACTTACTACAGACATATATACATAACTGGATTATACAGAGGCAGCAAATGTGAAAAGTACGCACGCACACGCACACAGATACACCGAAACACCGAAACAAACATACAGACACACACACACCCAAACAGACACAGAATATATATTATAGAGAATAACGGAATACAACAAAATTGCATACATATATATGATATATAGGGTATCTACAATATATGGTAGCTAAGAGAAAAGAAGAGAAGTGAAGATAAGATGGCAGGGCAGCGATCGAAGATTAAAGACATAATATTATGCATAAATTAATTTATATAAATATATACATACAATATATAAAAAAAATATATATACATATATATAACTGTAACTGTAAACTGGTATACTGTTACACACAGACAGACATACACATACAGCGATACAAAGCAAAAACAGAGGAATGGGAAAATGGCGTAAGGAAATGAATTAGCAAAGTAGACGACGGACAAAGTCACAGCAAAAACTACGCACACACACACACACACGAACACACAAACATACACACACGCAACCCACAAACACAGAAGAGAGAGAGAGAGAGAGCGCCGCCTCTCTCTGATCTAAGCACTTACTTGCGAAAATGGAAAAACTGAACGAAAAACAACCCAAACCTTAGTCTAAACGAAAAAAAAATAAACAATATAAATATATATATAAATATACATATACATATAAATATACTAATAAAAATGCAAGAGAGATGCAAATGTTAGATCTAGTTACATAAGCCAAGCAAAAAGTGAACTAAAAAACGGCGATGAAGAGAAAGAAGAAAAAAAGAAAGAAAAAGAAGAAAGAAACAAAAAAAAACAAATACACTATACAATAAAGATATTAAAAATATGATGCGAAAAACATACACAAAACGCTCACATATACCATATACATATGTATGGATGTATGTATGTATGCGAGACATATACATGTATACTCGTATAGAGAGACTATTCAAAAGCTAAACTCAAAGCTCTAGCAAAATGGAAAAACAAAAACAAAAAGCGATAAGTAAATAGTTAAAGAATAAATACAAAAAACAAAAACAAACTCAAGCAATACATTGACACTCATAGGTGTGTGTTACACAAGAATATAGTTAAATATATATATATATATGTATATATACATATATGTATATATATATACATATAAAACGAAGAATATATAATAATTGAACAGCAATTTATAATAAAAGAATGAAATCTAATGTACGTCAAGAAAAAATGCGAAATCTGCAAGAATGTTGTTTTACGAGTATCATCTCTGTTTTTTCTACCGTACTTACAATACATACCCCGAAGTAAACGTAAAACATTCTGTTGTATCTACATATTGTATTGTTATAATGATAATGATGATGAATCAAAAACAGGAATATCTGAGTGTTTGTTAACCCAAAAAAAATTGTTTAAATACGAATCTGAATGGGCAACATTTGCGGGGGCAGACTGTAATGTTGTAGTGTGCTAGTGTGCTGACCGGGTCGGAGGAGGAGGGCAGCGGCGGCTGCGACTGGAGACTGGAGATTGGCGAGCGAGAATTCCATTCAAAATTGGTGCATAATTTGGCTGAAATTTGAAATAAATATTCATATTATATATATACTCGTACGTGTATGCCTTATTGAACGAAACAAAACAAAGAAAAATTATTTGCCCCATTGTAAAGAAAAGAACATAATAAACGAGAACCCAGAGGTTTCAAAAATACCTGCTAAACAACAGAGGTCGCCGGGGAGTCGCCACAGAAACCAGCCACCGGCGCACCAGAATATCATAGAAAAGCCCCTACCTCCAAAAAGTCAGTCCACCGCACACTGCCACGCTGCCGCCGCAAATGCAAAACTGCAATTTGGATTCAACAAATTGTTGAGAAATTTTTACTAAATTGTTAAATAGTTAAATACAAAACGAAACATTTTTAAATCGAATCGTAACAATAATTAGGAATCACACGATGGAAAACGAAAGCTAACCCAAACAAAATGTAACGAAATGGAAAGCAATAATTCAGAAGACAGGCTCTAGTTAAAAACTACTCGTATAGAAAGTCGAAGAAGCAACATAGAAACCACCAAGCAGGAGACCAGGAGGATATATAGTATGTATATGTCAGTCAATAGGGATTTTATTTAGTTGGAGAAGAGCGTTCGCCCGCACAACAAATGAAACTATACGATACGATACCAATACAAAACCGATACCGATACTCAAGTCGAATACGAGAATAGGTTCTTCGAGTGGGGGGGGTGGGGGTGGGGGGGAGGAGGAGGAGGAGAGGTTCCCCATTGCTGGAGTTGGTTTTGTGGCAGAACGAACTGTATTGAACTGAACTGAAGAACTGGACGGACGGAGAACCATAATACAACTCATACCTTGTTTGGCGTTCCGTTCCAATGTTTTACGTTTGGTTCACCATCCCAGCAATATGTTATCTTCCGCAGACTAATCGTTCAAGATCAGATCATAACTAAAGTAAATCCAAGGCATAACTTAAGTATATACGTGATATTTTGAAAAAGCGAAAATTCATAAATTGTTTAGGTTTAAAACAATATTAAAATATATTATATATACAGATATATATATATATATATATATAGAAAAAAACATAATGATTAAATTAATTAAACAAACGAATGAATGAACATTTTTGCTGACAGAAGAAAAAAACAAACACAACAAAAGAGAAGAGAAGAGAAGAAAGAAGTGGAGATGAAAGGAAATGTTTGTAAACTCAATTTATTGTATGACTTGAATGAAGGTACACGGAAGACAGAGACAGAGACAGGAAGGAACGAAAAGAAAGTAAAGAAAGGGAGAAAGAGAAGGCGAAGGCAGTTCTTAAGTTTTTACTGAGCAGCAAGAAGAGCAGCAGAGAGCAGATTGTCCCATCGTAAAAATCTATTTAGTTTATATATAGTGAATATTTATATTATATATACATATATGTATATCTAGATATATATACATATATATATATTGAAATGAACAAATGGCAAACAAAAATAGCAATTAGAAAGAACATAGAAGGAAAACAAAAGGAAAAACGTGAAAGCAAGAAGAAATATATATATACATATATATATCATAGCGCAAAGAATAATATTTATATATTTTAATGAATGAAACGAAAGATCAACTGATTAAGTGCAGCTCAACTAAAGAGCATCAAACACCACACCATACCACAGCACACCACACATGTTTTTAGACTAAGTACCTACCTACCTAAATGAATTCAGCAATTATACATACATATGATATATGAGATATCCTGCGAGGCGATGATAGGATGGGGAAAGTGTCGGAAAAGGAATCAAGGATTGCGAATGATTGTTTTTACTACTTACGATAGATATAATCCCAGATACTATCCCCATGATCATCACACAAGAGGAATAAAACAAACAGAAAAGTAAAAATATGTAACCACACCACAAAAACACACACACATACTACCTATATACCTATATATAGATGAGAAGGGAGAAAAGAGAACGCATAAATAGCAATAACAATAAAGCAACAGCTACTTAATAATTTTAGCAAAATGCAAACACACAAAAAAAACAAAAAACAAAAATATGAGAAGAAAATACTAAAATTGCAAAAAAAAAAAAAACACTTTGGTTTGCTTTTATTCGCTTTTTGGTTGGTCCTTATGCTTTTTTCAGTTTGTTGAATCCAGCGAGTTCGAGTGTCCCTACCCCTACCCTCCTGACTCATGTAAAGCACCCTACCCCCAAATATACAAATATCCTCCTCAGAAAACCATCCACCACCAATGATGGCGCCGCAGCAGCAGCAGCAGCAGCAGCAGCAACAGCAGCAGCAGCAGCAACAGCAGCAGCAACAGCAGCAGCAGCAGCAGATTCAACAGCAGCAGCAACAGCAGCAGCAGCAGCAGATTCAACAGCAGCAGCAACAGCAGATTCAACAGCAACAGCAGCAGCCGATGCTGCTGCCACAGCAGCCATCGACCTCCAACTGGATGGAGTTGGACGATCTCAATGTGAACAACTGCGGGTCGAAGATTTAGAGTGGACGTTTGTGCGGGTGATCGGATAAAACAGAAAGCAATCAACAACAATATAAAAATGATCTAAATCAAAACTCAAAACTCTTAAGTCAAAACTCAAAGGAAACAATAAGGAAACACCTCGAGTAGAGCTGCGTGTCGTTGAAGAAAGAGATGAACCTGCATCCGGAATTGGCTCCAGAACGGAACACAGAACAGAAGTCTTTCAACGAGAACGATCACCGAACACAACGAACAGCCGCATCAACACTTACACAAAATTTTGTGTTCTGTAATTACCCAT